CCGGTAATAAGACTATCCGTTTATAACCCATTGTTTGTTTGTTTGTTTTTGTGGTTTTTGATTCATGTTTATTTTACTCCCTTATGCAGAATTATCTTGCAGGTATTAGAAACAAATATCAACTAATTAACCTAAATGTATGACAACATTTTCATGCTTAGATGCCTTTTAATTATACAGCGCAAAGAATTTGAGATTTCCATACCTTAAAAACCTGTCTTTGGAAGGTTTTTTCTTTTTTAAATATCGTTAATCCTCGCCTATATTGGGAAGACGGGGGAGAGAGAAAGGGCATATTTTATTGGCAACGTGATTTCAGTAATGAATCTTACTAAAAAAAAAACCTACTAGCCTCATTAGTTAATCATTATTAAAAGTAGGTTGAGTTTGATCGTCCGGGTGAACGTATATCCTTGAATGTGACTGTTGTTGTTAACAGTGACCGACGTTTCGACAACCTGTGCAATAGTCATCTTTAGTGTTAAAGTGAGTTGTACCACGTCCGTTATTGGTGTTGTATTCTGGTTATTGACTTGGTTGACCTGTCAGTTGTCCAGTTATTTCTCGTAGTTAGTTTTGCTTGATTCTCTCCATAAGCCGTTTGTACAGTGCTGGTAACTGTTGACTACGATTCAGTGACGATTCGTTTGTTCTAAAACAGGACTACGTTCACCCTACCTACATTTGAAGTGACTCTTGGGTTCAAAACTTCCACAGAATCATTATTATTATCATTATGCTCTTGCAGGATACTACATGTATATAGAGACCTCGTCTCCTAGGCGACAAGGTGACAACGCAAAACTACAAGTGTCAGTGTCTGGAAATGGCGCAGTAGCTTGTCTCGTTTTCTATTATCACATGTATGGTGATACCATAGAAACTCTTAATGTTTACAGCGGGAGTGAGCTGGTTTTCAATATATCTGGGAACCAGGGGTTCTATTGGATACGAGCAATGGAAACGATTTATTTGCGAAACAATGTAAGTTTAATATGGTTAGCTTCCGAAAAAAATCACGACTGATGTTCTTAGATTTCGGGCGGCTAAAATCTACACAATATTTGCAGGAAATCTTGAAGTATTATTTTTAGAGATCATCGGTTAAAAATGATGCTTTTATAAAAAAGGACCTATCGTATGACCTTGCCAACCTCTTTGGCTTCACTGTTTTATTTTACTGTATTTATTTATTTTCTTTTTTAATCTTCTACGAATTGTCAGATATATCGGGTGTCATTTCCTTTAATTAAATACTCGCACAAGTTAAATATGTTATGAAATTATCTGTGTGCTATCTTTTCTCCAGGAAGACCTACCACTACGTATAAATCTAATTCTGAGGGTCATGAGAATCTTAATAGTTTGCTTTCTATTGATGACCTCTCTTTTTTAATGGTTGTTTAAAATTTTCTTTCGGTTTCCGCTTGCAGCGATCCAACTTATTTGGCTTATTTCAACTGTTTAAAGACTTCCCATTTTCCAGATCTGTACTTTATTTATAGGTAATCTTTGAAGGAATTGCGGGGTCGTCATATACAGGAGATATCGCTATCGATGATGTGGCAATCACTAGTGGAAGTTGTGATAATCACACTGTGTTTCCAACGAGTCCTAGCATTGGAGGTAAATATTCCCCCTGCTGATTAAGCTTAAAAATATTCGGTAACATTTAACAATTATTCTTTGAAATAGGGGTAAATATTCCTAAAGCCACTATTCACCGAGATGGAAAAGAATAATTGTTTTAGTGTATCCACACGAAGTGATCTCAACAAAGTCAGAGAGAAAACAATTAAAAAGTACGATTTGATTGACGGGTCAAATCAAGCGAAAGTTTAAAAATAGATCTTTGCAGAATTTTCAAACATCGCAATTTACAAGTTGAACACTTCGCAAACAACAACGTAATGGCTTGAATGGAACTGTTTCCTTACCTGAGGAGAAAAGTAGAGCTTTCTTGTTTTCTGTTGACTCGCCAAGTTTATAGCCAAAAGGGTTTGTTGTGTCGTCCTTTGCATGAAGTGCTGACAAAAATGGCGGCTTGGTTGCTCGAGGTTAGACGTCGTCTTCCTTTATCATTCTTTTTCCTTTTACTTGAAACGTAGAATTTCTACAAACATTTGCTTTCAAATTTGTTCGTCATAAATAAACCTCGATTTTTGGGCCAAATTTTCTTGTTAGGAAACGCTGAGTTAACGAAACGGCTTCTTCTACGCGAATAAACGGGAGTTGTAAACAATCCACTGAGCACAAAACTAAGCTACAGTCAATGGAAAAAACGCCGTTTTGAATCCTTCCAAGTCTTTTCTTGCCTTAGAAAAAGGCAATCCTAGGATTTTGTCCACTTTTAAAAGATCGTTGTCTAAAAAAAAAAAATGGGAAAAACACCGAGGTTCACACATTGTCCACTAGCTAGGAGGTGAATATTGTTAAATAGTCCGAACCAGCGAACTAGTCATATTGCTTAAATAACCAAGATCACTGAATTTGTATATACTAATCCGTATTATTCCCCATTTACCATTTTCAGAAAGACAGGTTATCTACCCCCCAATATTTTGCGTAACTATTGTCTTTAATTTCTCTTGGAACGACTGTAATGCCAGCCCTGGAGAAATTGGAAAAGATGGTTATGTCAAATTTTGGAGGGTAAACAAGGTGCATTGTGGTATATGTGAAAATGGTGAATAAAAACAAAAGTATTTTCTCTGACCGAGTACTCAATATCTCAATATTTCTAATACCATCCGGCACTCCTGGGCTTTAGCCCTGTTCCTTCTACTATACCTGGATTTGTTTTTCGGTCATCCCAAATGCAAATGTACCACGCTTATAAATAGCTGCAGATTGCCATCTGTAACTTGGTTTTAAAAGTGTGTTCTTTGGATTATTTAGTGTTTCTAACTGTTCCTGTACCTGGGAAGCTAAGTGCATTTTTACGGTGAATACAGCTTATTTCGTTTTACTCAAGGCCATCCTGCGAGTAGTTAGCCAAGCGAAGCAATTTTTACTCGGAATTCCAGGTAAAAGGTCCTGAGTTCAAATCTCGTTCTGCACCGTGACCTCCATCTGGATTTGTTTTTAGTATTCCCGAGGACTTTCTCTTGTCAGTTCGGAATTCAAATCCTCGCGTGTGTTTGTAAAAACTATAGGCAAGAATCACGCCTCCTAATGTCCAACTGGGATTGCTTCTGGGGAAAAATGTGTGCAATATCTTTTGCATTTAAAGCAAATTTTAAGGAAAAAATACGTCTGTTGGTTTCTGTTTAGTGTGAAACTTATTCAGGGTCGATATGTATCTTATTCGAGTTAATGACAATCAACGTCTGAAATTAAGTCATGCTACAGACGCTTTACGTACGGACATGATTACTTTTAACACCGCCCTCCTCTACTCCCCTTAAAAAATGGACCAGCTCTTAAGCAAGGTCATCGGATCGAATCTGTTTTCTATGTCCTTTCAATTTTTCTTTCATTGTTAGGTTTACGGCTGGTTGGAGGATCCGGAAGCTGGGAAGGAAGAGTTGAAGTTTATTATAATAACATCTGGGGAACTATTTGTGATGACTCCTGGGATATATATGACGCGCGAGTTGTTTGTCGTCAACTTGGGTTTTTTGGTGCGGTTAGTGCTCCAGGGTCTGCCCGATTCGGCGCGGGAAGTGGTCAAATTTGGCTGGATGATGTTGCATGTTCGGGAAGTGAAAGTTCTATACTCTATTGTGGGCACAATGGATGGGGCTCTCACAACTGCGGCCACAGTGAAGATGCATCGGTGATATGTTTAGGTATGTGACAATAAATTTTTCAGAGCGTCCCAATGTGAATGCTTTAAAAACAGGTTAAGAAAATTTGCTGTGATTTTCTTCTCGTATTTGCTACCGCTAACTATTTGCTAACTTAAAGTCGGGAAACGTTAAAAGAATATACAACTTCTCTATACCAACAGCACCAACAACTTCTGTTCCATGGACAACGTTGTCGCCCTGGACGTCGCCTTCTGCTCAAGCATCTTGTAACTTTGACTATGGATTGTGTTATGGATGGAGTCAGTCTCGCTCTGACATATTTGACTGGACACTGCGAAACGGAAGTACTCCATCTTTTGATACGGGGCCTTCATCAGATCACACCACTGGAAATGGTACATACACTAACACTGTAAATGATTCCACAATATCTGCAAGTTATCAGTCCATCAGACCCAGTTCCACAGTTGTTCAAAAGCTGGGAAACGCTATCAATTGGATAAATCTCTATCAAATCGTTAACGCAATCAGTTTCCCCAAATCTTATCCGCTGGATAGAGATTTGTCCGGGGGATAGTGCTAAGCAACGTTTGAACAACCGGGGCCTCCTTATATTGTTGTTGTTGTTTTTTTTTCCATGAACCGTCAAAAATGCGGATTAACATTAACAGTCAAAAAAGTTTCTAAGTGTTCCAAAATCTCGTGCTGTTTCAGCTATTCTCCACAGACTTCTGACTCCTGAGGAATCTCTTAATTACAAGACCCATCTGAAAATATTTTGATACTTTATAACTGAAAGGCCAAGACAACCTCCAAAGTATGACAGTTAATTTTAATTTATACAGAAGTAAATATTACCTTTAGCTGTTGGATTTAATCGTCCACTTAATAACCCTCAACCGTCAAAAGCTCTAAAACGTAACCGTTAAACTGTCAAACTTGAAAAAAATAACCGTAAACCGTCAAAGCTACCACCCCATTAAGACCCTTGTAAATGAGACCCTACTATGCTGGCATATTGATAAATCTGGGCAGAAAGTTACTCCAAGATGTAAACCAATGTCGTTATGAACATCACTATAATTATTTGTCAATCGTATTAATTTGTTTTGCTCTTTATGCAGTATATTCTAGGCATTAAAGAACTATTACAAATAACTGTTTTGAAACTGACAGCATTTTCATGCCCAGTTTGCTCATTAATGTATACAACAATAACACTGAGAATTACAGTATTTAAATGATGTTTATGAACCGAGTCCTTGAAAAACCCCGTTCTCTCAGAAGTTTCTTTTTTTCTTTTTTAATATGTTTTTGTCGTAAACGCGGTGTTGGTGGCAGCGAAATAAGAAGGTGTTTAGGTATTCCTAGTTTTTGTTTTGTCCGGGGAGAGAGAGTGATTGTTTAGCATGAAGGCCTACAGATGTAAGTGACAATAATTTTATCAACTTTGTACCTTACTTCGATTGGTGTGGATGGGAGAAGCTTAAAAGGGAGGGAATTGCTTAATAGATAATTTACATTTTCATATTTTCACCATTACCAATATCAGTATCATTATTATCATTATAATGTTCTTGCAGGTTTCTACATGTATATAGAGACGTCGATACCTAGGCAGCAAGGTGACAACGCAAAACTTCAAGTGTCAGTTTCTGGAAATGGCGCGGCAGCTTGTCTCGTTTTTTATTATCACATGTATGGTGATACCATAGGAATTCGTCTTCCTTTATCATTCTTTTTCCTTTTACTTGAAACGTAGAATTTCTACAAACATTTGCTTTCAAATTTGTTCGTCATAAATAAACCTCGATTTTTGGGCCAAATTTTCTTGTTAGGAAACGCTGAGTTAACGAAACGGCTTCTTCTACGCGAATAAACGGGAGTTGTAAACAATCCACTGAGCACAAAACTAAGCTACAGTCAATGGAAAAAACGCCGTTTTGAATCCTTCCAAGTCTTTTCTTGCCTTAGAAAAAGGCAATCCTAGGATTTTGTCCACTTTTAAAAGATCGTTGTCTAAAAAAAAAAAAAATGGGAAAAACACCGAGGTTCACACATTGTCCACTAGCTAGGAGGTGAATATTGTTAAATAGTCCGAACCAGCGAACTAGTCATATTGCTTAAATAACCAAGATCACTGAATTTGTATATACTAATCCGTATTATTCCCCATTTACCATTTTCAGAAAGACAGGTTATCTACCCCCAATATTTTGCGTAACTATTGTCTTTAATTTCTCTTGGAACGACTCTAATGCCAGCCCTGGAGAAATTGGAAAAGATGGTTATGTCAAATTTTGGAGGGTAAACAAGGTGCATTGTGGTATATGTGAAAATGGTGAATAAAAACAAAAGTATTTTCTCTGACCGAGTACTCAATATCTCAATATTTCTAATACCATCCGGCACTCCTGGGCTTTAGCCCTGTTCCTTCTACTATACCTGGATTTGTTTTTCGGTCATCCCAAATGCAAATGTACCACGCTTATAAATAGCTGCAGATTGCCATCTGTAACTTGGTTTTAAAAGTGTGTTCTTTGGATTATTTAGTGTTTCTAACTGTTCCTGTACCTGGGAAGCTAAGTGCATTTTTACGGTGAATACAGCTTATTTCGTTTTACTCAAGGCCATCCTGCGAGTAGTTAGCCAAGCGAAGCAATTTTTACTCGGAATTCCAGGTAAAAGGTCCTGAGTTCAAATCTCGTTCTGCACCGTGACCTCCATCTGGATTTGTTTTTAGTATTCCCGAGGACTTTCTCTTGTCAGTTCGGAATTCAAATCCTCGCGTGTGTTTGTAAAAACTATAGGCAAGAATCACGCCTCCTAATGTCCAACTGGGATTGCTTCTGGGGAAAAATGTGTGCAATATCTTTTGCATTTAAAGCAAATTTTAAGGAAAAAATACGTCTGTTGGTTTCTGTTTAGTGTGAAACTTATTCAGGGTCGATATGTATCTTATTCGAGTTAATGACAATCAACGTCTGAAATTAAGTCATGCTACAGACGCTTTACGTACGGACATGATTACTTTTAACACCGCCCTCCTCTACTCCCCTTAAAAAATGGACCAGCTCTTAAGCAAGGTCATCGGATCGAATCTGTTTTCTATGTCCTTTCAATTTTTCTTTCATTGTTAGGTTTACGGCTGGTTGGAGGATCCGGAAGCTGGGAAGGAAGAGTTGAAGTTTATTATAATAACATCTGGGGAACTATTTGTGATGACTCCTGGGATATATAT